AAAAAAAGTAACGAAAAAGAAATAAAAAAAAAAGTGTCACAATAAAAGGAAGTTCAAAGTAAGAGACCAAAGACAACTGAAACAATCAAAAGAGTTTTATTCACTGATGATTACGATAGTAATTTAGAAAACATATCGATATCTTCTTCTGACGATTTAACATCCAAGGACGAATTTCCATTGAATTATCTCACAAAACCGAAAAAACTAGTTTGTTTTGTCACAATCGACTTATCTTATTAAAGTACCATTTTAAGTAGGCTGGTGCTAATAATAGTTAAGTTTAAATAATTATAAGTAAGAAGAGACTATTAAAGTTACTATCCATGCCAGTTAAAATTTGATTAAAATAATATTTTCGTCACTAAATTGCCTTGTATTTATTTGTAACACTGTGTACACCCTACCCTAGTAATAAATTGGACTGATCGAATGGACTATATAACTCGTAGCCGCGGCGGAAATATGCCGGAAATCATATTTAAAAAATAAATGCCATGAAATTATCTACCAGATTACAATAATAAAAAATTCATTCCAACAATATTTCTGTCTTGTATTGTTATATTTAAAGTTCTCAAGCTCTTAAAAAGCATTCGTGTAATACGAGTAGAATTACGAGTTAGAAATAAAAAAAATTATGTTTACAAATCTTAATGCTCTACATTCTACTGTGAAAAGTCAGAATGTGTCAAAAAAGGCACGTATGGCAATTCACAACGCTGTGTTAGTCCCTACTTTTACGTATGGTAGTGAAAGTTGGGAGTGGCAGAAGAAGCACGAGAGTAGAAAAAACGCAGCAGAAATGCGATCGTTAAGGAGTATGTTAGGGCTGAATCTAAATGACAGGGCGAAAAATTGTGTGATAAGAGAAGAGTGTGGTTTGCATGATGATGTTGTGACCAGGATTAAGAAAGGAATGCCTCAGTGGTTTGGACATACGGACAGAATGAATGAGGAAAGAGTGACAAAGAAAATTTATTTTGCAGAAGTGAACGGCAGAGTCGGAAAGGGACGTCCTAGGCGAGAGTCTATCGACCAAATTGGCGATATATTGAAAACGGGCCAAATTAGGAGTATCCTTAACCGACAAGCATATATGCGTAGATATATGGATGTGGAGGAGACGAGAGAGGTGTGACAGGATCGTGCCAAATGGAAGTGTGTCTCTGCCTACCCCTCTGGGTGACAGGCGTGAGTGTTTATGTGAGGTATGTAAATCTTAATGAATTGTAAGAAAATGACTTCGAAGTGAACCTGAAAATTCAAATCCACTAATGTTTAACATCTAAAATTCGTTTAACAATGGTAAATTACCTGGCTAATTAATACGTAGAATTGGCGAATGCTGTGGAGCAATTTATTAATAACGTCATAAGCATTAAAAATATTTGCAACACTTCGTTACAATAATTATGCTGCCATATAATTTGAGATTCCTCCTTTTCATACCTAGGTATGTGCGCCTGGGTACAAACATCAAAAAAAGTTGGCGGTAACTAGTAGAAGCTAACATATATCTAAAATTTATCTTTATCAGGAAAAAGTGTTTACGTTAGTTTTTTTTTTAAATAGAAACACTGATACTAACACACACACACACACACACACACACACACACGCGCGCGCGCGCACGCACGCACGCACAGACGCACGCACGCACGCACGCACGCACGCACGCACAGACGCACGCACACACGCACGCACACACACACACACACACACACACTGCTCGGCGGCAGAAATAGTTGGTGAGTGTGGTACCTTCCCAGAAGTATACCTTGGTGAAGAAGAAGCCCTACCGCCAATTAATAAGTAGTTTGAAACGATTGTAGTGAACGACCATGAAATCTGTCCTGAATAACGATATTCAGAACGATTTATAACAATAGGTGCGGGGGCTTCTTGCGTAACACTCCAACGTTGTATACAAAAAACAGACAGATTTGTGTAACGTATGAGGGATTTATATCGCATAGATCTAGTAGCTGTACTGCAGTCCAAGGACTTGACTCCGCAATGCGGTCGACCGGTAACAGCGAAATGATACGGTTTGGCAAAAAACGTAATTTCAGGTCATTCCTGTAGACTCGACGTTATCAATGCGAACGACAAGAATAAATATATAGTGCTTTAAGCAAACCTTACTTCTTAATTGATGTTGTGACATGCGTCATACTTTACATGTATGTTTTCTTATAAAGCATATTTCATTTAAATATGAGAATTAAAAAAAATATATTTCATAATTTATAGGCAAATAAGAAGCAAAAGTTAAATTGAGAACTTCAGTTTTCTTTTCGATATTTCTTTTCACATTGGAAATAGCTTACCTATTTTATACTTAAAAGAACTTTTTACGAAATGGATTTTTAATGTTAAAGAGAATTGAATAGTTTCATTTGATGAGAATATAGATAAAGCCATTGCGACATAGACATCCACTTAACATGTTTTTGTAATATAACTACTCCGAAATGGTTTAGTTGAACAACTCAACCAAAATATCCATTCATAGACGTTCTATTAGATTAATGATTTGAAATCCATGTCGCGGTGGCTTCGTAGTATTCACTATAAACTAAAACTCAATCTAGAGACAAAGTTATTTAGTCAGGCCGAAGTTTATACAACATATGCATAACATACGACGTAATCAATATACCCCGTTATGCGAAGTATGTTACCGCACCACTGTGTAGAATTAACACTCATTACAATTAGCACACACTTACTTTGCATAAACAACTTGATTCCACATAGTTCACTTTGTACCGCAAGACGCACATCACTTTGGTGTACGTCAAATTCGACGGCAACTTAATATATGATCACAAATCGCCTTATCAACGGCACGTAAGGAGCCTAGCGACGCCTCGCGGTATCGTCGCGATTACCACGATAATTTTGTAATCTATCGGACGGTAGGCGACAGGAACACGACATTAAACTCTGGCGACCTATACCAAAATATTTACACACAGACTCATTGCAAGTTAACGATTTTCGAAGAACGCCTTAAAAGAAAGTTTTCAACGCAATCTAAATAATTACAACGTATTATGCTACATTTACATGTTGTTAATTATATGTTGTTAAAGAATATTGGAAGCGATTAGATAAGGTAAATTATAAGGTACAACTGATAAGCAATTAACACTGTAATACTTCCACGACAACGCTAAGTACGCAACATGACGTCAAAATGTTTAAGAAACACGCATCGCTTATCCATTTTTTACAAAATAACGTTGCAAGTTTTCATTGCGTAAAGGTCAAATGAATTCGCCATATTTTTGACCGGGGCGTCGATCATAAAAAAATAATTAATTAACAATGTATACTCTTGTAATTATATGTATTTGTTTAGAAAATGTAAGGCCAACAATTTATAAACAAATACATATAAGTACAAGAACATAAATACATTTATAGAACATCCACATTGAATAGCAAAAAAATGTCATGCACACAAAACTAATTGGGAATCGGTGATATTTATTTTTCCATTCTGAATGTAGTCATGACGGACACTGAAATTAGAAATTACTTTTACAAATTAATGATCTTTAATGTCCCAATCATTAACATATTAGCATGATCACCCAATGAATAGAAACGGTCCAAATGGCATTTACGATATTATTTGTTTGCTAACTGCGACCACGATAACGGCGATAGGTAAATCACAGATAGGAGAAACCTGAAGATCCAATAGCAGTCGGAGCAGCATCGGGCCGCATTTTCTTGCCGTTTCTCGTGGTGCATGCCGCCGCTCACCATTACCGACTGTCACGTTATCAGCCAAAGCGTAAGATAAAGCCAAAGATAAGGATGACTAACGGAAAACGACGTCGAATCATTGGCAAGATAGAGTAAGATAATTTTAATGTTTTCCTTGTATTAACGAGCTCTATTTCAATTGTATATAAAGTGTACTTACCATAGGGTAATTGTAATCTAGTAAGTAATGGATTACAGTAAGTAAAAAGATAAAATTTAATCACCATCTCTAAGCCTATTAACTCTTTGGTCTAGTGGTCAAAAAACGGGACTGCTGATGTTGAGGTCCCAGCATTGAATCAAAAGTAATTATTGGGTTTTCCTGACAAGAAATTCCCAAAAACAGCACGGCGTCAGAAAGTTGGCGATGTTACCACCCAGTGTCTGGGAAAGCACGTAAATCCAATGGTCCTGAGCCTGATCTCGTTCCTGTTGTGTTGGATTATCGTCCCATCGGAATATGAGCTTAAGTGAACAGAGTGCACCTATGCTTGCGTATACACTCGAACACTATAATCCTGTCCTGCGAGATGGCTAATCTTCGTTGAGACTGGCCACCGTAATCGAATTTTGGTCTGGAGGACATCAAAGCCTGTCAAAAGTTCAAGACTGAACAAAGGCCTCCCCATATATTGCGTCATTATATGAATATTGAGCATAGTAACTACACTTGACAGGAGATAAGTGGTCGAGCCCCGCTGTAGTTATATTAGTAGTATAGTTGTAGCAAGAATGGGTCGGCTCGACTGAGGAAGGACCATGCTCTCACAGGATACCAGCGTAAAATAGTAAATGATTGCTATGGTGTTTCGTATGGTGAATGTAGAGGACCGGAGATCCTTTATACTGGAAACGAGCCATTCCATCTTTATCCTCATGGGTGACAACGCATCTGCATTTTGATTCGTAATCGAGAATAAATGTAGGTGTCTATGGGCCACAGCAACCACTTACCATCAGGTGGACTGTGTACTCGTTTATCACCATATCTTATATAAAAGAAGGGTTAGAAACTGCATTTTTTATAATGCAGTGTTGTAAACAGGAAGACGCTACCGCCAATCTATAATTTAATTACTCTCTGTCGCCACTTACGCCTCTTCGCCGAGTAGTGGCAGCGTAACACCGTCCACTACTCCATATCATCCCGTTGATGTTGTACACAATAATAATAATAATATTGTACTGTAGGATGAAAAATACACATTAAAACTCACCCACTGAAACCTCTTCGTTTACCGGGACTTGCGGCACTCACTGAGACACCGGGATCGACGGTCGATGTTTCTGTAACAAAAAACGAGTTTAATATGAGATTGTTAAGGATATTAAAATTTAGGCTCTTTTTTATTTTTAATTAGATCTTATATGGTATCAATTTTATCCGTAACATTTTAATTGCATCACTGGGAACAAAGTGGTGCGTTAAAGTAGTACAAAAAATACTTATACTTGTTTATTTTAGGCATGTTTAGCACGTAAATAGAACGTATGTTGAAAACGCAGACATCGGTGGCCTTATGTTATTTTGCACTGAAACATTCACGTACAAAATGTTATATATAAGGATCTCTTTGTATATTGTTGTTGTATTATTGAAGTAAACAGAGAAGCTGTTGTTGCAGATTTAATATACGAGTTAAAAATGAACAGCATTTTATTTCTAGATCTTCTGTAAGCTGGCCTTTTCTATACTCCATCCTTTCGCACCAATATCGGACATAAGCCTTGATTTCGAGAATGTTGTGAAACGACAATGGGATATATACGGATAAAACATTGCCCGAATTGAATATATTTTAAAATGATTCCCGTAGATTTTAGAGAAAATTTGTTAAATAAAAATAAATAAATTGTTCTATAGCCGAATAATGAAATAATATTTAATTTTTGGTTTGCGTATTTTATGTAACTGATTTTATTTCAAATATTTAATATAGAGATAACAATAAATTATGAAGAATTTGTCGCGAATGCGCGAGCATTATATAGTGATGCCTAGGCTGAAGACTATCGACGCGAAAATTTCGGCACTTCGAGCGCAGTTGAGGCATTTCGCTGCACTGTTGGTAAACTCTCGCTTATCAAATATTTTACCTTGATGACTTTAGCTTGTGCAGCTACGCTTTAACAGCTAACTGACACCAAAAGATATTTTTAGAATATAACGTGACAAACGAGCTCACAGTCCACCTGACGATTAAGTGGATGCTGTGACCCAAGGACATCTACATTTAACCTCGATTAAGAATCGATAAAATCAAAACGCAGCTGCATTTTCATGGCTGAAGACCAAGAAGGAATGCATCGTTTCCAGTCAAAAGGATCTCCGGTTCTTTACACTCACCATACGAGACACAGTAGCATTAAGTTGCTATTTTACGATGGTATTCTGTGAGAGCGTGGTCCTACCTCGAACCAGCCGACCCATTCATGCTACATCCATAATATAGCTGCAGCGTGGCTCTACCACGTATAAGAGGCATTAATGTCAGCGCAAATATATATCTTATATTCAGTGTGTGTTCCATAAGAATTAGAGTTATATTTATTCAGTAGGATTAAAACTTTGCAGTTCAGGGGATAAATTTTCGTCAGCTCTACTGAAATATGCATTAGTTTATTGGTTTCAAATACTGATTTACCACGTGCTACTCAATTAAGAAATATATCGTTGGGATACCAGCATGTCAGAGATATTGAAAAAAATTGAGGCCACGTGAAGTCCTATATTTTGCCTTGCTCTAAAACACTATCAGGAAAGCCTTTGGCGCAGCTGTGGGACGTATATATGTATAGTTTACTTTTCACTTTAGAAGTAAAATATGAACAATATTATTATAAAAGTGGTGTTACGTTACGCATTACATAAATAAAAACAACTATTACCTACATATAAAAAACTTTATAACTTAACGAAAATACCAGAGATGGATTCTATTTTAAACCTGGTTGCTGAAGCGGTCAGTATTAACAATTTTTTTAAAGCTAGAATTAAGTAGTTGACACCACCATATAAAGTAAATTCATTTAGTGTCTAGTTATGATCCTAATTTTAATATTAATCTAATTTTTATGGTGTATACAAGTAAGAATATTACTTCGCTATAAACGCTATGACGTCATTACGCTATGATATAATATCCTCATACAATTTTTATACGAATGCTTGTTTAGATAAGTTAAAAAAGTATTTCTCTTGACTAACACCTCACTAAATAATATGTATTAATTTATATAGGTATATAACAATTGACTAATTTATGACATCGTATTGCCTCTATTACAATAATAAAGAACTGGTATGAGGATGTGTCAATCGGTCTCGAGTCGGACCGGAACGGGGGACTGAGAAATGGGGAGGAGAACTCGAGTGTCACCGACTGCAATCACATTCGTCACCATACCCGAAATAGACACAAGCATAGCGGCCGATTTGATAGTGAACACTAAAGATGACATTTCATTCGACAATAATCCACAAAATTGGACATCTAATAGGTTGGAATCTCAAATGATACAAACAAAAATAATAACAGCATAAGAGGCTGAAGAAAGTAAAAATACCTTTGATTAAATCAAACTAATCGGTCATGAGCTAACGCCATCGAAAATCTTACATGTTTATTAAAAACTAAGGTTCGCAACGGAGTGCTGAGTGCTGGAGTCTACTAAGAAGGGCAGCGCCTTATAGCACCACGAGCATAGGCAAATGTGTACTTCGCCTTCCACGTACACAATAACTGTACCGAAACCGAACACAAAACCGACGGCTCGTGCCTTCCCGCGAACCAGTGAAGCTGATAATTTCAAATACGCCGTTCGACGTTCTGAGAACGCTTTAAAGAAAAAATGTCTCTAGCTATATTTAATGGCATCGATCAATATTTAGATGAGTTCTATAAGTATATAAGTAACACCTTTATGAAATATTTTCTTTAGTTGAAAATAAGCTTTCAAAAAATGTTTGTTGACTATCATCATTTTATTTTATTTTCTACCGGAGGCTAAAAATGTCGATATCATACGCTTACTATATATCAAAATTTATAAAAGCATGTGAAATCAAAAACAAATATTATAATATTATGTACACACTAAAACAATTATTTAATTCCCATGTCATTAAGGTATTCATTTATAGAATGTTAAATCATATACAAATATTATTATAATAATATGTACGTACCATAAATTCCCATGTGATTAAGATATTAATTAATCGAATAATTTGTAGTATATATGTATGTTTATGTGTATTCTTTTTTATCACACCAAATTGCCCTACCCCTGTAATCTTTGTGTAATCCTGTCCATTCATTGGTTGTCTGGGAGATAATGCTATCAGCAATAAGACCGTACATTGCATACTTCTTTTGTATATATAGTCTTTAATTTTTGTGTGGTGTGCAATAAATAATATTAAATAAATTGAATAGTAACATTTATAAATAACAATGTTTTAACGATTTTTTTAAGTTTTCTATATTATTTATTTTCTTTATATTTCATTAGGTAGATACCTTATTGTAGGTGGGTATGAAAAATATGCTTTCCGCATTTTTACTGACTATATTGTTCAACTTTTAGTCTCAGAAGATACATGCTATTATTAACACACACACACACACACACACACACACACACACACACACACACACACACACACACGCACGCACGCACGCACGCTCGCACGCACGCACGCTCGCACGCATGGAAGCACGCACGCAAGCACGCACGCACACGGCACACACACACACACACACACACACACACACACACACGCACGCACGCACACACCGCACGCACGCACACGCACACGCACACGCACAGAGACGCAGACACACACACACACACACGCACGCACACACACACACACACACACACACACACACACACACACACACACGCACACACACGCACACACACACACGCACACACCACACGCACGCACACACGCGCACACACACGCACACGCACGCGCACACGCACGCGCACACGCACGCGCACACGAACACGCACACGCACACGCACACACACACACACAACACAGCCGTCTCATAGATAAAAAGTTAGAACTTAGAGCCTTTAAAATGTGGTTTTCAACTATTTGTCCAGTGTAGGTTTTTGATTGCGCAAATGCAAGGTGCATTTGAGCAATCAAAAATCTCTGAGCTTTAAAAATCTTTCTCGATCTACCGAGTTTCGAAAGAAACTCGTGTTGACTCGACGTATCCAAAATATGATATACGTAGTGTTTGTGTCTCCAAATCTATACACTCGATTGACTTGAAATTTAGTATAGAATAGCTATTTCATAATATAGATGCTCACTAAAACGGGTTTTACGAGTGTTCCATAAAAAATTCCATAAAAACACTTAACACTTTTCTCGACTCTGTACCAGGCTTAGTAAAGCAATAAACTTGATACTCCGGACCCAAAAGTTTCCCAATGAGTGTCTTACATTTTTTCCATACTGATCAGCAATAATTATGATTTTCTTTCTTGCAGTTATCCACTAATTGGAGCGGATATTAGTGATATTAGTTTATATGCTATCCTTATTGATAATTTTATTTATAACATCTTTCTGTTGAATATTTATCCACTTAACTACTTACATAATAAATATTTGTCTAAAACGGTAATGTCCAGAATCAGTGTTTGACAATACAACATATTCAAGTGTATTTTTTCAAAAAGTTATTTTGTGAGTTTTTCAGTTAATATTTCGAAAAATCACTATTGAAGTCCTAGTTAGAAGCTTCATTCACGGATAATTGGCATTATTTCGATTTATTGATTGATTTTAAGTACACAGTTCACCATAATATTCACAAAAGCAGTTAGTATAATTATAAATACTGTTGTTTAACTTTCTGGTACCTACCACCACAAAAAGGGTACATCATGCAGTCAAATATCAGTTTTAGTTGATTGAGTTGCAGAAAGGTGTAAGACAGAGTGAAGTTATAGTCTCCTCCTACTCTCGAAACTACACACACTTCGCATTTCATCATTCTCATCAACGAAATGCCAGTTATTGTTGTAATAACAAAAATACCGTATATGTTTGTGGTGTTCTCCTAACTGACATGTTCACGAAGAATGAACAAAATTACGATCAGAACGACTCGCTGTGAATGCACGACTGAAGGTTAAGTATATGAAAATTGTAGGTATATCAAATTACGTAAGCTACAACAAGATAACCTGCAAATAGCTGGGAAGGAAACTATTAACCTACGTTAACTAACTTGTCGCATAAGTTCGGGACTAATGTA